AATATATCATATGCTTCGTGTGAAGTAACACATTTTAACGTTTCATTAATACTGCGGTGAAATCTGAGTATCGTGATCACGTTTGTCAAGTTTAAAAAAAACATTTTCTAGTGCATACAGAAGTTGCAAAAGATATTTAATGTATAACACATTTCACAGAGCTCATGAAAAATATTTATAAACAAGCACGATTAATTTTATCAATCAGTCTTAATATTCAGCGAGATCATATTTAACATTCATTAATTTTTTACTAAATATACGTATGCATCACGTGTTTCATAATTTTGCAACTCCTGTCTCGTTACAGTATTAATGAAATTACATAAATGTATTACACAACACACGTAAAATATACGTAAAAGTTTCCCCGTGGCAAATGTTCCAATACTTTCGTGAAATTACTTTCACGTGATGTGAAAACCAATCATTATACGCAAATATCATTCGCTGATACAGAACAACTTTTCCGATTGCAATTTAAGTAAGTGATCAATAATGTCGGTCTCAGTTAATCACGCAAATGTTGTATTTTTTTGCCTGCTGATTTGCATCATTGATCTCGAATTCGCAGGATTCTTTTGCTCCCGAGACGCCTGGACGCCGTAAAATTTTACCGGCGAAGTTGCAAACGAGTTCGACGCTCGTTTCAACGTGACCGGTAATTAACCGAATGCAATTAATTCTTGCTCACATCATTTGCGAGCGAGCGTGATGGGAATAACGAGGATGGAAACGAAAGAAATTAACGACCAGCTTTCTGTTTTCTCTCTTGCGCTCATCTCTGCGTTGTTCTTTCGTACCTAAAATATACATTTGCCTAAAATAGAGCTACACAGTCGCTTTACATTGAAAAATAACTATGCTTACACGTTGCCTACGAGGAAGTATCGCACTTCTCGCTTCTCTCATACCGCCGGGTCGTGATACAACGTCGTTATCATTTCTACACGATCCTGCTCACAAAAATATTCAATCTCTTTATTCTTTCTCTCTGCTCTTCCGTGTTTAACGCACATCACGGTATCTAACGATTACCCGCTTTATAATGAATTTCGTTATTCTTCGTAGCGTATTCTTTTTTTATTCTCGCTCCTATCCTCTCATTCAAAACAGCCTAACGATTTTGATTACACGTTTATTTTAAGATAGTTGGGAATGCAACGAATCGTCAAAATTAATGTCCCGATTGATTAAAGAAGAAACCTCGAGAGGTGTAAGAAGAAATCAATAAACCGCAGGTCAAGTCACGATGCTTTACCGGTGGTGTACAACACTTGATACGCAACGCTTTTCAAACGAATTCCTCCGACGATAAAGCTGGGATTTCGCGTGCTATGCACATCGACAAACGATACTTGTAACCACCGCGATACGCCACCCTTCGATCGATTCCGCGACAATTTCGTGAGTCTCCGCGTCTAAACTCGACTCTCGAAAGGAAATTTTTGAATAACAGCGTTACATATTTTTAATCGCTCAAAACACAATGATCTGTCATGCTTAACACTATAACCACCAACTACTAATTTTCAAGTAGGAATTTTTTTGAAAAAGTTAAGAACTCTGTGATCGAACAAATTTTTAATCCATTAAGGACCAAAATTATGAAGTTTAGATGAAAAAAAGTATTGAAACGTGTCCTTCGAATTATTTATAGTATTTGAATGAAATGCAACTCGTTGGCTCTTAATGGGTTAATCTCTTTGTAAAAGTTTTTCGAATGCTAGAATGTGAAAATCATACGACAGTAGTGTCACCGGTTGTTATAGTGTTGATAATAGCGTCGTACTTCAAAGACGAGACATCAACGAATTATTTAGGAGATAAAATAATCTCGCAACAAATGCTTTATTACTGCGGATTTTTATGCAAATGCGTAACGATCTGCTTCTTCTGTTCGATATTGTAACAAATATTTTTCTTTGAATTTGTTGCGTATTCCTGCAATGTTATCATTTAAATGCATAAACATCCGTAGTCTATTTATTATACAGTATATGTTGCATCAATGTGACCAAAGGTTGCATCAAATAATTACCAATGTTCCAAGCAAAAAGAACCGAGGCGCGCTCGACACGCAAATAAATTTACTAAAGTTGCCAACTGTTCACTACTCTCTTGTTATTTTTGTAGAATTGTCGTCGTCGATAGTAATTCAGATTTTATAAAAAGTGTGTTAGTTCGTCACTGCGGTGATCAGTCTCGCGAGACAAATCGCGACAAAACGAACGAAGACCGATCGAAATCATATCAAAAGAAGAATTATCAAAAAGACATAATTCAAGTCAGGTCCTTCCGTTAGACATCTCCATATCGGAAGAAGCACCGCTTTAGATGTACAGAACATTCTGTAATTTCTCTTGTGTGTATACCTAAATATAGTATAATATGTATATCTGTATATACCTAAATATAGTATAATATGTATAGTTATTTATATGTTACGGGCGCAGGATAGGTAGAATATAGTCTGACAACAATTATTAAATTATCAAATAAAACGAGATCGTTACGAGAGCTAGAGCATGTGCTTATTTTCTTTCTTCTTTAACGATACAGCACAAATATTTCTTCTCTGTTCTTTCACAAATACATCTATCTTTTAATAAATTCCATGACAAAGAGGATTACTTGAACTGGTTGCGTAATTCCAGCATTTCCTTGTTTTTCAAATAAATCTTCCATAAGTCATTGTTACACGTGACAGAGATAAACCTAGCATATGCTACGCGAATTCATTTTTGCACAATTTCACTAATTAATCAACGTTTCAATTATTTAGAATTTAAATATTCAATTCCAACGAGACGCAATTCCATCATACTGCACACGCATCCATAATAAATAGATATACATGTGTATGTATTCTCTAAATTCAATAACGAATATATATATGTATATATATATATATATATATTTAAATATTTATATAATATATATGTCATGTATCAGAACTTTGTTTTTGTCTTTGGTGAACCAGTCGA